CTGACCGCACAACTGTTCTCCTTCTCAGGACAGTCGTTCACTTTGTCGCAAAGGAAAAAATTTGAAATACATCAGCCTCTTTGACAGGCGTATTCTTTGAAGAGACACGCTGTTCAAAAAAAATCACAATTTTCCTGTTTTTTCACCAAAATTTTGCGTGATTAACATTAAAAAAGTAATTGGGTGAAGATAATTGGACTGACTGCAGTTGGACTCGTCGCTATCGTCGGGACAGTCCTGATACCTGTCGCACAGCATCTTCTCAGACGGATATCGTTTCGTAATTTTGCAGTGAATTTTTGTAGCCGGTGGACAATCTTGCAAAATTGAATTCACTATTACAATTAATGTAGGATGTTTAATTAAAACTGTTATCCACTAACACAATTAATGTTGGATGTGTTTAATTAAAATCACAGTTTATAAGCATAGCCCTGCTGAACACTGCATAGCCAAAAAATTTCGTTCATGAAAACGAGTTTAAATTTTATAATTTAAAAAAGTTTGATGGATTAAAAAACATTGTTGAAATGACCTCTGTTTATTATAATTGACGCCACACTCAGCAAACTGTCAGACAGAAAATGTAAGACGATGGTCACTAACAATATTGAAGAGGTGCCGGCCAACACCTGCATCATTATGACCATATTTTTGCGGTTGCTCAGTTCCTCACTTAACTTCTTCGTCTCTGAACTTGTGTAGTTTATTTTTTATTTATAAAGAAATATTCACAATCGTTTGAATTTAATTTTTACTAAAACACGGACTAGACCTTATGAAGCATTAACTTACATTGAATACACTTCATCCCTAGCTATTTTTCTCAATGTCTCTAGTTTATTATCTTTTTCATTAAACTTTTCTTCATCTACAGAAATATCTAACGAGCCACTGTTATCGATTGATCCCATAAAAAGTTGGTCTTTAGAAAAAGTTTATTTGTGTAATTAAATAATTTGTGCAATAAAAGTTATTGGCTCAATAAAATCATTTGTATGTTGGAGATGTTGAAATAATTTCCAGAACCAAATCAGCCAGCAAAAATGTAAACAGATGTCAAAGGACAAATAATAATTAAATTACTTTTAATCCTAAGATTAAAAACATCAAAAAAACATTTTTGCGAAACAGCCAGCGTTGTTTTAATATAAAAAAATTACCGAACCTGAAAATTCAAACATTTTAAAGCCTAAAAGCTAGTTGCACGGCAAATCATATCTACATTCTACTTGTACATTTATTTGCATTGTGATTTTGTTTAACTAATTCTCAGTGATTTTTTCTAAAAACTATGTGTGAAATATATATATTAATAACTTTGTAAATAATATCCTGGCGTTTTGGAAAAAATTAATATAGATTTTAAAAAATATAGTCTGTCGACGGATTAAATTTGTTTATTGAGTAACTTCTTTGCAAAACTAGATAAATATTTTTATCATTGCTCTTGTAATTTTTAAAAAATCATTTTAACGTCGAAAGCGAATTTAACAAACAATTTTAATGCAAAAGCTGTTTTCAAACAAGCTTGTATTGGCTAGAAAAAATTTATAAAAAAATATTCAAACATGTTAGTTGAACAAGATTTTTGTCTCAAACTTTTTTGTTTTAAGCCTAACTAATTTGATAAAAAAAATTAAAGAACTAACGATATGAAAGTGTGTAAATAGTGTTGAAAAATAAATCTTATCAATCCTATCAATATTTTATATAGTATTAAAATAAAAAACGTTGTCGAACATTTATAAAAATAATTGAAAAAATAAAATGATCTAATGTGGTGTATATAATTCTAAATTTGTATGTATCCAGTTGAGATAGTAGGGTACGTTGACGTCGACGCTGACCTGGCAGAAATCTGCCTCCATGTATGTGCCCGTTGACACTCGGTGACCTGTTCAGCACGGTGCGTGAAAATAAATTACAAATCATTTCTACACCCTGCAAGTTAGAAAGCATCTTCTAACCTGAAACGAAACTGTGTATGCCAAGCAGTGTCCACTTGTCTTCAGTCACTGATTTGCACATCATTGGTCCTCCGCTGTCTCCCTGGGGCAAAAGATTTTAAAAATAATCTTAGAGAGCAAAAGCCAAGATCATAAATTATTTATTTAAAATAGAATTTATTTCAAGATTTTTCAAAATTGCATTGTTTTATAATTTTCATTTGATTTTTACGTTAATAACTGCTTCATAACAGGTAGGACGTCTTTAATAAAACTGATGACGTTGACTTACTTAATATATTGATTTTGATTTGTTAGAAGATTTGTTTGATGTTTGAAGAAGTTAGAAGATGTAACTGAGATCTAATGAGCAATAATTTAACGGAATTAAGTTACATATTGTTCAATTATTCTGAAAAAAAAACTGTTTTCTATACACAAAAAGATTAAACGTAGCTTACCACACAGATGTTTGTTTGCTTGTGACCATGGTACGTGCCGACGCATAGGTTTTGTTTAAAGTCAAAATAAGGAATACTACAAAGCTCTTTAATGACCATTCTGGCTTGCATTAAAACGGACGATGTGCGGTCTGTTTGAATGTGAAATATTTTTTGTTATGTTAAATTTAATATATGGTTTAATAGTGAAGAAAATATATAAAACTTGAGCACAACATTATGTATAATATAATAACAGTAACAACAAGTACAACAAACACACTCATCCGTTGTGCACGTATAAAACATTCTACATCTCTAATGCTTTAAGAGTAAAAGAATGAAATATCGCAAAATTTCAATGCAATCATCTGAATGGCAGTTACTTAAATTTAAGCAGACTCATTTCACCTTGACAGCAAACTCTTAACATTTTGCATACACAGACACCTACTTGCCTTCAGGCTTAAATACTTACTGCAAACATTTATTAAAATATTTTAAACGTCTAATTATTATTTTAACTCAATTTCTATTAACCGTGCACAGATTTCCCCAATCCAATGGAGACACAAACTGGGAAATCGGAATAAAGATACTTCCTCCTCGGTAAACAGAGTGGTTGCACGTGAGGCGTGTTTGCTATTTTTCGTTTCAACTTTATTAGAGCGATGTCGTTTGTCTTATCTTTGTAACCGTCGTGGGCGATGATTTTGTCTAATGAGTACAGCACCCAATCATTGTCGTGCTTGAAAACAGCTCCCACAGCAACAATGCACTGGCCTGGTTTATATCTGTTGCTCAGTAATTTCAGAAAAATTTGAATCCAAAAAATGTTTCCGCTAAAAAAGTCTTCCTAAACGAACCTGGACCCGTCATCTTTGACAACGCAGTGGGCCGCGGTGATGACCCAGTAAGGTCGGATGATACTGGCGCCACAGAGGATGTTATCACATGTCAGTCTGGCATACCAAGGAAACTCCCCCCGCTCCACCATCGTGCCGTACACGATGTAATTGCTTCGAAACTTCGTTGTGTTCAATTTTCTTGAGCCACAATCTTAATGTTACATTTCAAAAGTTTACAAAAGTTACAAATTTGGAAGATGTCAAGAAGTAATGAACAAAATACCTTCGCTTAAACAATTCAAAATGACTACCAAATTTTTGGGACACGATGAAAGAAACCTTCTGTTTGAAAAACAGAAATTAACTGTTGATGTGAATTTTAGTAATTGAAAAATTCTAACAAATGATTAAATGTGCATTGAGTAGTCCTCACCATCAGCATTTGTTATAAAATAATATTGCGCAACATAAATATTTATGAACTTGTTTTCTAGATGACTAAATTCTTTAACCATGTTACTTTTAGACCTAATATGTATTTGGCGGGAATGAAGCGAGTGGGTCGTGTCGTATGGTTCGTTGGATCTATATAAACATGCGTTAACTTGTGCCACGTTTCATTTAACTTGTACTTAAAAATTTTTTCTATTTTAAAATGTTCATAAAAATAATAAATTGAAACTTTAGAGAGGATTACATATCGGTGATCTCGATGCTTTCTTCGTCAATCAACTTTGCTTGGAACGTTGTGGCGTTGTAGGCGGTTATTTTGCGTAACGTTTTGTTGTCATGGGCCGATCTAAGTTGACATTCAAGTTGATTGGCGGTCATTAGATACTATCAGAAAAAGATTTACAACCAATTTTTTTTAAATAAAAGTTGATGTTATTTGTAGACAGTTTAAAAACATTTTTCATTTAAAATTCAGAAAATAACACAGATCTTTATGACTATTGTAAAAGTTGTTTTAAAATGTATTATAATGACTTGTCCATACGCAACATTTATTGAGTAGTAGGATAGGAAATGATTTGAAACTATTGAATTCTAGCTAACCAACATGTATCTGGCCTTTACGCAGAACACTCCATTCCATTCAGATCGCCAGTGGCTCGCACACACATTCAAGTTGGATTTCCCTCTCAGTGTCAATTTCAATTCTCCTCTACCAGTGAAATGAACTGTTTCATTAAAACAGTTTAGAATTTCTTGAATAAGTTCTAATCTTTAATGAGATGTTTGTTTGAGTTTAAAGTTAAAAAATTGAAAAATTATCAAAATATTTATTCTTAAAATTTCCGTCGAATCAGCTAAAATTTTCCCTTAATCAAAAAATTCCTGTGTTAAACTGTAATTTAATTTTTTCAGGCTGAATGTCAACTTTTTGAATTTTATTGCAAATAGTTACATAAGAGATATTATGTTATTATTAATATCCAATTTTATTGAAACTCATGAAATTGCGCTAAATCAACAAATTTCTAAAAGTCTTGAAATGTGTCTGCTGGTTTTAACACTCGACAAACCACGATTTGAAATATGATAACGAGCGTAGTTTAAAACATCACATTTATTATTTCTAAATGATTGTGAATTTACATCTTAGGGCTCCTTTTAATCTTCAGTGTTTCAAGGCAAGAGTATTTGACGATGACAAAAATTGTTATGCTGATTAGTCAAGAGAGCAGTCGGTTGTCTCGGCTTCATTAATATATCAAAATAATGATGAATGCATTGAAAATATAGAAATTATTTTCAATCACCACATAATTCTTCGTCATCTCCTAAGCTACAATCCAGTTTCGAATCACAGACCTGCGTGTTTGGAATGCACTTGAGCGTTGAGCCCTTACACCTGTATTCATTGTACTGGCACTTGCCTGCAGTCAAATGTCATCTACGTTTTATAACTTTATTAAACCTTTTGAATATCAATATAAACTAATGAAACTTCGATAATGATTCAAGCTGAAAAAATCTATTTGTGATAATCAAATTCACGGAGAAATAAGTGCCAAGGAAAAGGTACTTGAAGTGAAACTCTCAACTTAAATTTGCATAAATTTTTATTTTACAAAAATTTGAAAAATATTGAAATACCGCACACTCTCTCTCCTTCATCATCTTTCTGGGGACAGTCGTTGATTTTGTCGCAAAGAAACAACGTGGAAACGCATCTGCCATGTCTACAGGCGTACTCTTTATCCAAGCATGCTGTTTCCAAGTTGGATGGTTGATGGCGGGGTTAATTGATGGGTGATTGATTAATTAGATGGTTGGGTTTGTTTGGTTTGTTGACTACGATATGAAACATTGCCAAATTAAATTTGCTAAGCAGGTTTATATTACTTAACAACACAACAAGTTATATAAATTTTTCTTGCACAAAATTCTTCGTAAACCCCATTATACTTATTGACCTTAATGACTTCAATGTTTTATTTTATTCATTATTTTATTCGGCAATGATTTTTAAAAATATGGAGTCCAATCAGTATGCTACACTCAATATTTAAGTTTTTGGCTTGTAGGATTTTAGAATTTCAAAAAAGTTTGCGAAAATGTAAAACTTTTAAAAATTGAATGCGTTTTGAATCTTGTATGTTCGACGACATTTTTTTTTATATAGGTTCCTATGAAGTAACTTGATACAATTGCGATTTTCGTAATTTCAAATATAAAATTTCTATTTAGCATGCATGCCGTACAGTGAAACGATATCAGATCAGCTCGACTGCTTATTGCAATAACGTGGTAGAAAAATTTGAAGAAATAAAATCTCACAGCAGTTTGACTCGTCACTATCGTCAGGACAATCTTGATAGCGATCGCAGAGATATTTGCTGTCCAGGCACTGTCCAGTTTCTCGGCAGAAAATCATTGTACCAGGAGGACATTCTTCAAATCAAATATATAAAGTTGCGTGCAATGTTAAGTAACATTAAACAAATAAACGAGATTCAATTTTTACTTCAAACGCTTACCGTTTAATATTGTCGCCTTACTGAACACTGAATAAGAAAATATTTTAAGTGGGAGTAAAAAAATTAATGACGTCTTTTCATCATTTCATCGCAATTTATGCAAACTGACCTGACTTGAGAATGCTTGAAGCCACGTCAGCCACACCGAAGGATATGACGTGGAGAATGAAAGTGGCAAGCAGAATGGCTGAGGTGCACGAGATTATCCATAAGTAAACCACGCCATGTCGCCTGAACTCGCCAGAACTGGCACTCAACAGTACCCCTCCCACATGGAAAAGGTTGTCAGCCTCCTGACTTTTTACCGATTGAAATATTCCAAGTTTCCAATTTTTTAAATTATTGAACATAATATAGCATTGATTTTTATGATGAATTGTATAGATTTGTATTTAAGGTTATATATATATATAATACAACGTTATATGATTAACATTCATAAATATAAAAGAGTTTCAAATGCGATGCTTCAAATGGAAAATTGCAAATTTACTGATTCAACAATGATTGGATAGGAAGTGCTGCTGATACCACAATGATTGAATAAGAGCGTAGGAATTCAAAACGATTGGATAGAACAGACGTATGCAAGAAAGGGTTTGATAGACACAAACAACAATGATGGATGTAATGCTTAGTGTACGACGGCCAATGGATAGAACGTACATGTACAACAACGATCCAGAGCTATTGTCAAGGGTTTTGCGGTTTTTGTCCTCCTCATCATCGTTACTTTCCACATCTTCTCCCGCTATCTTCTTATTCACTTGAAATTTTTTCTTGTCTTCCATTTATCAATTTATAAATCTAACAAATTCGAGTGAGCTAACTACTAAATAAATTCAAACATTGTTATTTCATTATTTATTTACAATTTTCCTTGCTTTAATTTAAACAAAATAAACAAAAGCGTCAAAAACAATTTCATCATCAATTAAATTTTTTTGCTTTGAGTCACGCCGAATCTGATTTTCAACTCTTCCTCCTAGCCACAATTAATAACTATATCTGGGTGCATGTAATTGATAAAATTAAACTTTATTGCTCGTTTTGTAGCACAACCACGTTCAACTCACAGAACACTATTTTGATCTTCAAATTTAGTACTTTAACGCCTTCTAATCCTTTTTTTGTCATATTGTGTCTGTTGTGTGTACAATTGATATTTAATGTAGTTTGATAATGTATAATTTCAAGTTGACAGGTTCCAGTAAGGAGGGATGGGGCGATTTTTAGGTGTTATTGGCAACCCACATTGACTAATGTTTGATCCAAATCATTATTTTTATTATTTTATGACATTAAAAGTGGAAAGTTTTTGATGACTTGCATGTTTTCTTAGAAATAATAATAAAGAGTTGAAAAAAATAAACTACAAATTCTAAAAATTTTTTTGCCAACTTTTGTAGGGGAGCAATCGCCCACATCGCCCTCCCTATTAAATTTCATTTCATTAAAGTAAAATTTGTTTCTTATTTAAGTTTTTTCCTATTTCTTTTTTTTCTTATTTTTTTTATTAGATCGCCCGCCCCCTTATGGGTCCGCCATTGCCTTTCATTCATTCACTTGAGCCACTTGGTGGCGATGTTTAATGATAAAGACGGCTTACAGTTCCTGGGTTCAACTTGCGAGTTTTCTACCTATCACATGCTGTGATTTTCTCATAAAATTGTTGCAACGTAGACAGGTAACAACAAAATATTAAAACAAAACAATAATTTGTTCAAGTCAATCGTTCATCCTATTTCAACAATTTACTAAAACATAACTTGTGATTGTATATTACTAAGGTTCTTTGCATCCTTTATCTTCAACTTCAGACAAACAGCTTGTATAGGGACATGATGTTTTTTTTGTGTAAAGTAAACCAGCTCCACCTCAAGCTAACTTATCAATCAATTATTTCAAATCCGTTATTTTTAAAACGTTTGCGATTGAAAAATTAAGGATAAAATTAAGGATAAGGGTATTTATATCTATGAAGGCATTTAACAATGAATTTTGTTCTTTCTTTAAGCACGAGCAGTATTGACGTCCCACATTCATTATATTTTTAAAGGGCACCTCCTTCAACACATTATTTATAGGTATATAATAACGCAAGCAAGTCAACATTAAATCTCGTACTATAATTGATTTCATTTTTGTGGAATTTCATACCATCTAATTTATACCGGTATTGTCTGTCTCAAAGTATTCTTTCCATCCCTTACAAACTTTCCTAGAAACAACAGCAGATGATTTACATACACACGAAGCATCTAATTTGAGCAAGATGGTCGAGCGTGAACATTTAATTTTTTTCTGTAGCTAATTTGAAATTATATCAAATTTGTTGAATTCCAAGTTGATGCGTTCAACGTTAAGTGTATTTTAAGTAAAAAGTAAAAAAGAATCTGAATTAAAAATTTCCCACTCGGCAGCTTTGTTCACCCATCAGCAATGAAAGTTCAGCCAGCACGAGACATGAAGCTGACGTTGAAGGGGTTTGTTTGTTTTTGTTTACCGTCGTATGCTGGCTGGTGGTCCATCGGGTTTGAATATTCTGTTCTGCTTCATTTTTCGTCACCTTCTCAAATGTTTCCAGCAGCGAAATGCGTTTGCATGTTTTGAAACAATTCCATTCAACAACAACGTCATCGTCAGCCCATCCATCCATACATCCATCCTGTGCCATGACAAATGTTCAATGATGTTGTTGCTTGGATCCTCACATACACATACAAACAACACATACAACAAAGCGGTCAAATTTTATGTGACATCTTATTATTTTTTCAAGATGATTTCATCAATGAAAGAGCAGTCATAAAAATACAATTTTGGCAGAACACGTTTGGCCATGTGAATGTTTGATCTTTGATGACATGGAACCATCCATTTTTCTGAGTAAAATTATGAATGTGAATAAAGAAGAAGCCAGCAGTGATTTGCATGGAAAACTGCAACTTGTTGATACCAAAACCCATCAACTTCCTGTTTCTGAAGGCAAAATTGATGATTTTAGTTTAGTGAGTTGTTTCAATAAGGTTGCCAAGTCACAAGATAATAAAGAGAGCAAATATTTGTTTGACACACTGGACAAAAACAATTTTGAAGATAATAAAAGGGTTGTCAATTCTAATTCAACACCAGCTGAGCAACAAAAACCTCACTCAGAAGATTGGCATGAGTTTCAAAAATTTCAAGGGAAGGTTTATTAGCATTTTCTAATTTTTTACAGAAAAATTTTGTAAATATAAGTTTTTTTGACAACAGCTTGAATATATATTAACAACAATATCTTGAAGATATAAATTAGTAGAGATATTCCCTAGCAAAAATTTATTGTGCAAGTTTTTATTAAGTTTTAAAAATTAATCTTGAGTCACATTAGTTTTTCATTCATTTTCATTATGAGCCTCATGAACTCGTCCAAGACAGCATCAGTTCAGTTGAGACAATTCAATTAATTTGTAATTTTCTTTTCTTATAATTAAATTAATTATTTAGTAAATTTAATATTCTTCAATCTTTTATTTGACATTTTAAAATTGTTGTAGTACTGTTTGAGTTTTAATTTAATAGATTAATTAATTAATTACTTTATAGAAAAATAGAACAAAACTTTTCATATTAAAAGGAATTAATGATATAATAGTAGTATTACAATAACTTATTGATTCAACAGACATCTGAAGTGGCGAACCAGCATCTTAACTCTCAAACCAGCCCACTAAATGGCTCAAACAACACAGAACCTCTGATTTCAGCTTCATTAACTTCTAATTCGTTCAATGTTATATTCAGCCGAGAGATTTGCAGAACCACAGAACAAACAGATCCTAATATTTTAAAAAATTTCACATTAAATTGCAAAGACACAAAAGTTTGGCAGGATTTAGAATACTCAAGAACAAAATCAAAACTGAAATTCAATTGGAATGAATCCATATTCAAAAAATACTTTTTAAAATCTATGCACCTGGAAACTCCATTTTCAGTAATTCAATTTTTCAACCTTTATGTCTATTTATTATATTATTAAAATTCCCTTGCAACTAAAACCAGCCCTTCTTAATCTTGCAATAGTGACTTTAAGATCTAACATGAGAAGCATCCTTATTTTAGTGTGATAAACTTATTTGATTATTAAGTAATCATGTGAGTGAGCTATCCAGTTGGTGTGTTATTTTTATTAGTGAATAAATTATCAAGTAAGTAATTTATAAGCAATCAAATTTTTTAAGAGATGTGTTTATATAATTTGGTTGGTGACTTGCATTTTTATCCCAATTCTACATCAACATTTCCACACGCAAATTCTTAATTTCAATCTTTTTCAAATTCAACTAATTTTGTTTTAAAATTTGCTTCTAAAATTAAATATTTTTCAAATAGTTAGCAGCAACTTTGGATGACGAACAAAACAGCAGCAGCAGCAGCAGCAGTAGTATGAAAGATGTTTTGATAAAAAACAGTTGGAACATCAATAAATGAATGCTATTTGGAAAAAGAGTACAGACACCTTTAATGCTTGTCATTACTAACTCATTATTACTAATATATTCATTGAGTTGTAACAATCACGTACACATCTTGCATGCATAAGCAATTGAACAATTTTGAGTTATCTACCGTTGACGAGATGAACCACTTTCAAACACAAAACCATTGATTGACAGTTGTTTCACCAAATTAAATCAATCATTCACCATGTATTCCATTTTTTTTAATTATTTTTTTAAATTTAATTATTGATTTTAATTAATTTCAAATTTTTTTTAAATATTAATTTTGGTTTTATTTATATTATTAACTCTTATGCCATACTCTACCAATCCAGATGAGTAGTTTTGCTTTTTTTCTTAATGTCAATTAACATAATTTATTACTAAATGATTAACATAATTTATTACTAAATGATCATAATTTAACACACTTATTTCGTTTATCTCCTTGTTGATATCTCTAATATACATTGTCCATTCCAATATTTATCCACTGATTATTACATACAATCCTGAAAAACATATGATGATATATATTTTTCTATGGTTTATCTCATTTCATTTTTTTTCTCAAATTCTTTTGAAAATATTTTATGTATTTCCATAGTTAACTATTTGAAATAATAATTGCTATTAAGTAAAATGTTTGTGTAATTTGTTTCAAAATGACCATATTGAAAAGGTTTCACTGTTCACATTATTTGGTTATATGTTGTTATATTTCATCCATCAACTCTCAAGGCCGTAGCCAGATGGGGGGGTTGGTTGCGGGAATGTTCACCCCCAGTCAAAAATTATTAAAAATTGCAATTTTTATTTTAATGTTACACTTTCAAACTCTAAAAAATTCACTACTATATTGCTAGCTGTGTTATTATTATTGTTAATAGTATTAGTATTAATGTGGTTATTGTTATTATTATTTTAAAAATCAGGTATTTAATGCTGTTTATTATTACTAATATTTATTTGTATTTATTTATTCTCATTTGTAGTTTTGTCTATTGCTGCTTCTGCAACACCAAATGAAATCTTAATTTACATTTATTTAAATTTTCATTTATATGAAATTTTTATATTCAAATATGCACAGTTTTGTTATATTTTGTTGCTCTTTACTCGTTTTTGAAAATAATTTGTTTACTTAAAAATAGACATTAGAAATTAAATAAAATTTTACTCAGAGTTCTCATATTATTTTGAATTTATTTTCAAACGAAACTATTTTTTGTTTTTTTTCCCACAAATCGTTGATTAGGAACATTCCATCCTAAAAACCATCCCACTTTTATTTTTTATAAATTTTTTCATAATTTTTGTTATTATTATTTTTGGCAACTTTTCGAATATTTATTTTTTAATAAATTTACAAATTTTACATGTTAATTATTTTCGGATATTTCTTTTGCAGAAGGTTGTTGGTTCGGCGTGCATAATATATATTGATTGATCGTTTGTTTGTGAGCATCAAGCTTTCAGTCAGTTTTTGTTGTCTAGTGAAGGAATTTTTTGTGCAATAATCCAGTTGATTTAACAATACTACTAACAATAATATTACTAATACTATTTGTTAAAACTGTATTGATGGCGTTAACCAAACAATAAATGATAATAATATTAACTTTGATTGTTTACTTAAAAATAGGCGCTGTTCTGTTTGATTTCTTTTTGTGACGTGTTATTTGAATTATACCAAGCGTATGTTTATTTTGTATTTTTCTCGCGTTTAAATAAATTAATTTAATATTTAATCGTCTCTGTTGTTGGGTTAAACCGCCTGGAATAAAATTGTGGATTATGGCGCAGTGTTGTTGTCGGTGCTTTAAAAAGTGCTTATGTTGGTGCTGTAAGCCGACCGAGAAACCAGCCAGTGCAAGTACTTCACTCTGTATATACTAACTAATACTACTGCTACTACTAACAATGCTAATAAAATGATATATCGAATTATATAGAATATTCGATAATAATCACTAACGCTAATAATGATTATGATGCAAATGCCTCGGATTTGTATGGTTTCTGATAAATTTTTTACATAGTTCTTTTTATTAAAGTACGAATAAAAAATTTGTTTGTTTTAGAGTAAACATGGTAATTGTGGGTTATAGTTGTGTTGCTAGGTTTCCTTTTTATTTTCCACTGCAAATGTTTGTTTGTCCTATGTTGCACTTGTAACATCCATATATGCATTATTTAAATTTTGAATTTATTTACAACGGTTGAATGTCCTTTGTTAGACTGACTGCAAAAACAAGTAAACAACCGAATTGACCGAGCGTTATTCGCAAATGTCACATTTTCAATTGAAGAACATTTTGCGTGTTCAAAAGACTGGGACATAGCGATCGTTACAATTTTATGCCACAAAATCACAAAGGCTTACACAACACATTCACATAAATATTTTTTTTATATAAAACTACTTATGTGAGAAGGTATCGCAAATAAGAATGAGTCACGTTCGATACTAAATTTAGAATGAAAAGTGTAGCACGCCATAATGACGTGTAGGACACTCCAAAATGTTTGACAAATTTTAACCAAAAGTAAAGGCGTGACAAAGTTTTCACGTCTAACCATAATTCTAAATAAGTCTTACCAGGCAGGAGGCTTTCATTTTTCGACATTTTTTCTCAAATTCTTTACAACTTCTGTGCAGTTATTTAACCATAATTGAAAGAACTGTTATTGAAATGGTTTTAATTTTTTAGTTCAAAATTTGACTATGATCTTCAAATAATATCGGATAGTTTTTTTTAGCAATGTTAAAATGCAAAAATGTTCAGGTATTTTTGAAAATATTTTTTAAACTTTACAGGTTGATTTAGCTACGATTACGATCAATGAGAAGCCAACCCCACGAGTAAAATTTGTTGAACTTCTGCACATGATTTGTTTCATGTCATGTTTCGAGTAGCATTTCTAAAGTTCAAAAAAAGTTTATTTGTTATAAAATGTTATTTGGAGTTTGTGATAGATTAAAATCCAGTAAAATTGGAAGACAACGCTGTAACTTTCAAAACATTTTTCGGTGTCAAGTTTATTCAACTTATACAATCAAAATTTGGTTGATGTTTGATGAGAAAAATTTTTCCGGCATTCAAAATAATTTTAAAATTTGTTAGACATCTGATGGAGTTAAAGTTCCGAACGTGAAACACAAAGACAAGGTGGCTATTTTAATATTATATTATTTATTCAAATTTTTGTTTCAATAACTCACTACCTTTTCATGAATTGATGTTAATTTGCAATTATATTTTTACGTACTCAGTCGAATATTTTGCACTGTTGAGATGTGTTATGTTTAATTTTATGTTAACCGTTAAAAATTTTGGTAAGTAACAAATATGTTTGTCTGATTGACAGTACCTATCCAAATTTATTTCTTTCCTTTCTTTTTTTTCTGAAAAAACCATTCTCAAACTCACGAATTATTCATCTGTTTCTATATATAATGCACTATATTCTATATACAACCGTTTCTATATGACTAACCGACCGTAATTCTGATTCAGGTCGCAGATATGCAGAAGAAGAAATACAGAGTAAGTAATTGGGAGTTATTTTTATCATGATATCTATCCAAATTTGAAAGAAAGCTCATTATTTGAAACTCAAAAAATTATTTTCCGTTGCAACGCCAAGGCCTGGTATGCCAATCATAACATCGAAAACTTCAACGACCAGAACCCAAACGACTTCACGCAGCAGTACTTCGTCGTGCCAAATTCTGAGTACGAGATGGAGGTTGATTTCTTCAAGAACACTCAGATGATGGTCATTTTGAGGGCTCTAGAAAGGAGAAGATGAACTGCGTGCTGACACACAAAGGAAGGACTATATTAACAGCAACAACTACGTCAACAATGTGAACATATTTTATTTATCCAATCGACACAATGAAACTATAAGATATTAAGATGATAAATTGTAACTAAAATGTTAAAATGAATAGAATAAAAATAATCAAATGTACGATCCACCCATCCTCATTGCCAATGGCAAGTGCATGGGTGTAAGTTATATTTAAAATAGCATTAGGCAATGTTTCTGCCACAATAAATTCCATATGACGAGCTAATAACACTGTTTATTAATTTAAAGTTAAACGGTATTGACCATGTAAATTTAAATATCGATAGATTAAAATTATTACATAAACCAATTGGCGACAATTCAAATGTATTAATTATTATAGAACAATCTTTATATTCTTTATTTAGATATGCATTTAAATTTTTATATTTTTGTTGTTTATATTGTTTCGATGAAATTAGATTAGTTTCATGGCATATCGTCAGTTCCAATATTTCAATCTTGTTGCCCCTCAAATGGCAATGTCTGGTCGTAGCGTGTTGAATAAGAGTGACATTGGACGAATGCCTTCCCTTTCCAAATCTGCAAACAAACAGCAATCGTTTGGAACCTGTAACTTCAGCTCGTCCATCATCAACGCCAGTACTTTATTATGTCTATCTGTGTATCTCTTCAGAGCCGATGTTGAACCACAGTTTGAAACTACATGCTTTTT